ATGCACCTCAGATATCAATCATTAGATGAGGTACCTCAGGTGATCTGAGGTGCGTCAGTTATTATCTGACGCATTTGATTTTGCACTATTTTTTAAAGCATATCCATCTTTATTTAAATATTTTATTTTCTACAACAGTTAACAAATTACATATAAATTGCATAAGTTATTTATCTACTCTTTATTTTGGCATGAACACCCACCATAACATCTACTGCCACATTTACCACCGCTTTTTTTACAGTGACATCTATTATTACTATAGTCGCTTTTACAGCTACAAATTGCACATGATGGACCCATACTTTGGAGCCATCCTGCTTCCCTGATTGATATTTTATTTGATGGTATGATGTCAAGTTTGGGGAAGCTAGTAGTGCCCAAAGGTTCAAGTTTACCGGTGAAATAAAGAACTTCAATAATTCCAAATTTTGACTCCAACTGATACTTGTTATTTTCAGTTTTGTCAAGTATTTTGTATAGAAGAGTTGGCTGATCAATACTAAATCTGTCAATTTTGGGAATGGCCACCCTTACTAAATCATTAATCTCATATCCTGTTAGTTTTCTTTTACCCTTGGACATTTGTTGAACCATTTTTTCAGTGTATGCCTCAAGACTTTGACGAGCAGATTGACAAAGAATTTCATACCCACTAAAGTTGTTAGTAACATCTGCAAGTTGTGTAGTAACACTTTTAGGTGATGTATTCGAAGTATTGTTGTCTCTAGTATCGTCGACATCTATTGCTAATTAATAAATACATTCATTATTACTAATATAATACAATTAATCAACGTACATAATTATATTTGAGGTTGAATTTAAAAATATTTACCTTCAAGATCATTATCTAAGCTTTCAATATCATCAGAATTTTCTATCTCAATCATTTCAGATATGTCTTCTTCATCCCGAATATTTTTTAAAAATAATTCAGCAATTAATGTGCAATTTCTGCGAGACTTATTGCCATATACTAGCTCATATGGAGTCTTGTTGTGAGAATAGCAATAGCTGTTGTTCATTGATGATATGACAAACCAAAGCCTGAATGACCAATCACTTCGCTCTGTATCTTCTTTCCATTTGCCCAATTTTTGTTGAAGAATTCCATTGGCATGTTCAACTAAGCCTTGAGACTGTGGATAACATGGTCTTCCATTAATTATTTTAACAGAAGGCTATATTTTTATAAGTTCTGTAATTACTGAAGTGCAAAATTCTTTGCCATTGTCTAATTAAAGTATTGATGGAGGTGAGCTCAAAGAATGGAAAAGATCAAACAAATAAGCTGCAACCTCTATGGCCCTTTTGGATGTAAGTGCTTTAGCTCAAGAGAAGCGGCTAAAGTGATCTCTAAGATTGCAGATATATTTATAATCACCATCAACATCAAACGATAGGTCAATCAAATCCATCTTATAAGTAGCATTAAATTTGAATTAATTAGTATTTCAAAAAAAAAAAAAAAAAAAATATTATTAACTTACTTGCATTCGAGATAAAAAGTCTTTAGCAATAATGGGCTTCACTACTAATGAATGAAACGATAGCTTTCTTACGGCATATATGGTACAATTGTTAACAAACTTTTCAACAATCTCTTGTCTTATCCATCCCCAATTATCCTGGATTGATTTTCATAACTGTTTTTGTCCTCTGTGTTGGTCAACTTCAGAGTGAGTCTTACAAAGTACTTCGTACATCTTTTCAACAATCAAGACTAGAGTATTATCCTTCTTTATTATTACTCGAAAGTCATCTAGGGTTATTTCTTCAAGGCAAAATCTTTTTTTTGCCTAGTCTCTGGTGTTTTTATCCCTGATATTAGTATTAGAAGGGTTTTTAAGAATTAATTTAATTTTATTTAGAAGATCTAGGTTTATCAACACCTTGGCTTGTTTGATTTCAGGAAGGCCCATTACATATTGATCACGATTTCAGAAAATGTACTTCAGCTAATAAACTCAAATTCCATATTGATAAAAGCCAGTTAAAAGGTAAGATAAAACAAAGTATTATTTAATACGATTAATTGAGAAATTAAAAGATATAGGTAGTTTTAGATTCCAGAATTGTAATGCAATAAAATTTCATTCTTTTATGTGATTCAAATTATAAACTTTTTATTGATTACTCAAGATGT